CTGCTAAGCGGTTCAGCTAATGGATATATGGATGGATTGCACATATTGCCCTGCAGCATTCAGACACTCCCAAGGTTGCATTTGACTGCCGTCTTGAATGACAATCCGAAGCCGTTACAGTAAAATTCCTCTCCGTCATTTAATTGTACAATGATAAGAACAGCCTCAATAATCTTGGCAGCCATCTTTAGCTCCTTGTAAAGGTTAAAGGTTCAGCTAATGGATATATGGATGGATTGCACATACTGTCCTGCAGCATTCAGACATTCCTAAGGTTGCATTTGACTGCCGTCTTGAATGACATTCCGAACCCCTTACAGTAAAATTCCTCTCCGTCATTTAATTGTACAATGATAAGAACAGCCTCAATAATCTTGGCAGCCATCTTTAGCTCCTTGTAAAGGTTAAATGTAATTTCAAGGCGTGCACACATTTGCACGCGCCTCATGGACAACTCTTTCCGGAGTACGACTCACCATTTTAATGGGCACACCAGCCAGGTCCTCCTCCGTGACGGCCGTGTCGTCGCTCTCCACAACATAAATGCCCTTCCTGTCCAGAGATTGGATGACGGAGTGGTGCGACTGGAGGGATGCGGCCTGCTCTGTCTTGAGGATGAGGGCGCAGACGCGACAGTAAAGCTCGCAGGACAGCAGCAGGCGGATGACGGGGGGCTTGATGTGTTCCTGGTCATACTGGTCTGTGTAGAAGGGATCCCTCAGGTCCTCGGGGATATGGTCTGAAATTACAAGCAGGCGGCTTTTTTTGAGTCATATTTGTTCACATCCCACTTCGGTTTACGAACAGCAACATTTACAAGTGCAAGTTGCAACTCAAGAGACGTGGTTTGAGTTTTGCCGGGGAGCCGAACAAATGCACGCATGCACTCACGCAAGCCTCAAGTGATTCCATTTGTGTGGATGTGAAGTCACACCAAATCCAGACATTGCAACCTTATAAGGAGCCGGTACAAAGCACTGGACCTCAGTGTGCCAAAACCAAATGGTTGTACTCAAAATAGCTTTGAAAAACGTTTACAAAATCACGTTTTACAATGCAACAGTGGGTTGAGAAATAACCTTGTTCCACTCAATCAGATTTTACACCGAGTGTGTCCTTTCATTCGAAAAACACTGGCGGAGTGTGTGCGAAGTGTTCTTTTCTGACGGGATGAAGGAAGCCGGCCGTCAGCAGCGTCACTTTCACAAAAACAAGGCAGGCGGCTTCTTCCCGCAGCTCGCCAAAAGCACTTTGGTTCAGGGAGGACGATCCAGACCGATGTAAGAAAAGGGAAGATTAAATACAGAATGTCCACGAAAATGAGAATCCATCCAGATGTGGCCAAGATTCTCCTTAGGAATACCAGACAACTGTGCATCTTTTTTTCATTTAAACAATTGATAGATGCATACTGCTGAATCTGAGCATCACATTCTTTTGCTAATGCAACCCAGGAATCAATATGGGCTTCTGCTTGGAAGTACTGGGTCTCCCTCCTCACAAGTGAAATGGAGATTTAATACCGTACAACTGTTTCAGGTTCTTGATTTATAAATCAATAAAGATGGCCTGAATCTGCTCCAGCACCGCATTTTGTTCCTTGTTGAGTGTGCGCCTTACTCACCGAGGGGGAGTAAAATCCAGACAGACATCCGTATGTACACGAAGAAGACACGACTGCTCAGGCTGCTCACGACTGATATTTGTTTCTCGCAGAGGACAAAAAAAATAAATATATCTGCCCGTGAACAGGCACAGGTCGATTCCCAGTTTGACGGTTTAGCAAGTTTTTAAAAAGTCACAGTTTCAATAACCGCTAGTAGTGGCTGGGACCGGTAATGAGCTCGTTTTTTTTTTTTTTTTTTTTTTTTAATTAAGGGGACTTCTAAGCAGGGCACAATATGAGTGTCTGCTTGCGGAGTTGTGTAAAACAGCCGCCTCTTTGAAGTGAATTGCCTCCAATTAACATTTCTCCACCGGTGATTATTGTTTTTTTTTTTTTTGGTGTGTCTACCTTTGCTGAAAGGTTTATGACACCACAATACATTCATTGGCTATTCATTGGCCCATGTAGTGTTTCACATTGTGTGTTAGCGTGAAGCTAACAGACTTTATAGTTAGGCAAAGTGATGTGGTTGTTTTAAAGACATAATGTGTCATTATTTGCTTTGTTCAGCTGAACTGTAAACTTCAACTGCAAGCGGTTGAGTTTGCCGCCATTATCTTGCGCCGGTGATTCCGAGAAAGTTTGTAGTTCTATAAACACTGGAAGTGTGTGATTGTGTGCGCGATAAGAAAGGAGTCTAGACGGGAAAGTGTTCACGTTTGACTTAATTCCGCAGACGATGACACCGCGTGGCAGCTGCACCCTCCTCTTTCTGATCCCATTAGGACGGCGCTGGACTTAAAGTGTAGCCACTCACGGGGACGGGGGTGAGCACGAGATGAGCTACATGAGAGTTAGCCGAGCGTATTAAGAAGCACAAGCAGAGTACAAGCAACAAGGCTTGGAGTGTGACAGGTGCACACTGTGCCTGACGCCGTGTCTGGCTGTCTGCCACTCAGGCTTGGGGAGCAGCTGTGGCAGCCTGAGGGGCCAGGCAGACAACATGAGTACACAAACACTCAAATACGAGTGGAACAGTGTTTGAATGCCACGCGACCTCCAGCATCATCAGGCATTAGTATTTGCCCCCCCCCCC